ACCACTCAGTCACACAATCGAGAATTTTCAATCACGGTTTCAGATACAACCTTATCTGACACTGGAACATACTATTGTGTAAAGTATAAAAAGGGGTCACCCTGAGATGCAGAGATCAGCAGGGGAGAGGGAATCCAAGTTGTTGTGGAGTATCAAGAACCTGCCCATGTTTCAGATGGATGGGACTGGTCATCCAATGGCCTAGTCACCATGTCCCAAGCAGTGGCTACCAGAGGGAACCTTAGCAGCTGCTGGGTATGCCATCACATTCCCCAGTCAGGAGCTCCCGTAAGTCCATTAGTGGCCCCAGTTTTCAACTATAACAAAGATATACCCGACTGCATCCTAACCCATGGTGCCCCAAAAGCTCCAATACGAGCAAGGCTTGTTCAATACCCATTTTCTATACCCTGTTTCTCTCTCACCAAGCTCTATAAACATACTTCAGGGCACAGATGGGAAATTAAATCACAAGATCCCTGGATGAAGGTAGCCCAACAAGTTTTCCAAGATTTTCAACTTCTCTCATCATGTAATCAATCTCTAGTCATTCCCCAATTGTCCCATATTAACACTAGCATCCCAGACAGCTCTTAACGGAAATTGGTCCTTGTGTGCCCCATCAGGGTGCACCTTTCTATGTGGGGAGAAAGCGTACCCCACTAGTGAGAACCCCATCCCAAAGGTGTCACCCTAAATGTGGGCTATCCACTGTCTGACTGGAATTCACTATGTGGGACAATGCGCTTTGGGGTTTCTAACTTACCCTACTCAGATTCATCCACCACCCACTTGGATGATTGTAAATGTCCCCCGGAAGAGATGGGATATCTTCTCCGTAGATCCTGTCTCCCTGGAGGTGACGGGGATAAATAACAATCCTGTCTTCGAAAAGACTGGGTTTGGGTAGCGGTTCCTAAGAACGATTATCCCAGGATTGGGAGTATACCACATGGAAATGGCTATCAGAAATTTATCGGATACCCTTCACCTATTAGCTCTTGGGACAGGGAGAGCACTCAAAGCTCAACAAACCTCTTTGAACTCCCTGGTTGAGGTGGTTCTTGATGACAGAATTGCCTTGGACTTCTTATTGGCAAAATCAGGAGGGGTATGTGCTGTAATAAATAAAACCTGTTGCACCTGGATGAATACTACAGGAGCAATTGAAATAGGGTTAGATGCCATTCATAAGGTAACTAGATGGACAGACCCCAAATAGAGACAAGAAGATGCATGGAGCTGGTTCTCCAGCATTAATCCTTCCTTAGAATCTTGGTTAACCTTAGGAATAGTGATTATTCTAGTTTGTTTTTGTGTTCCCTGTTTTATGAAAATATTGGCAGGAAGAACTGCAAATACCCTTAAGGCTGGAGAAATTTTTACCCTGATAAGTCGGGATGCCCCTTTTCCAGGCTCTGGGGATGCACGTCATCTAATTCACCAGGATGCAGCCGATTTCCACTCTAACTCACCCCCTGCCTATGGCCCCTAGTCCATATCGGGAGGTTTCTCACCCCAGCCGATGCCCCTAACCAGCAGGAAGTAACCAGAAGAGAAGCAACGCCCTGTTTCCCAAGATTGAGAAACTTCCGATAACAGGGGTATTGGAAGAGGCTCCATAGGCCCAGCTCACTATTATTTACTCCCCATTGTTAACTACCACATTGTCTCATGATCTTGTCTTTTTTTCCCTCTGGTTCCAGTCTCTACAAAAGGTTTAAGATTAACCGATGTTCCTCTTTTGGAGGGTGGAAAACAAGTGATAATGATCTAAGGATGAAAACCGAACAAAGCACCCAGCTTGCGACAAGAAAAACCAGGATGTCGCCAGATAACCCCCAAGAATACCAGTGAAAGATTAACTCATCTGAGACATGACCACCTCAAGGGGGGAACTAACACAAACTTCTAAGACCCATAGTCTTGTCCCTATAAAAGCCTTCAGCTGATCTCCAGTTGAGGAGATGGGTTTTTTGGAGGAAACTCTTCCCCTCTGTCTCCTATATATCGATATATAACAAAACTCTTGCTGCTCACCTCACCTGTCTCAGAAACGGCTATTGCAGCAGGCGGCTCCAATCCGCGTTATTGTGGTAACAAGATGAGAAGGCAGAGAGGGTTAGGAGCTGGTTGAATGGACATGGGAAATCGGGTGGAAAGGAGGAGTGTGCTGTCACAGTATAGGGAGAGCAATTAGGGTCACATAACTATGTATAAATTTTTGTATAAGAGACTAACTTGAAATGTAAACTTTCACTTAAACTACAACAACTAAAAAAAAATCAGGGCCAAAGAAGTGGCTCAAATATGTTGGTCCCTCCCTCTATGCTTAGGAACCCATATTTATTTGTTAAATAATCACATTTATTTATTTATTCATTCATTCATTTAAACTTTCCTGGGAAATTTTGCAGATGGCTTCAACAATTTCTTCCTTCTAAGCCTTTCTCCTTCTGAAACCATGCTTAGGTTCTTTCTGATTCTAGCCATACATCTTGGGTCAGATAGTCTAGTCCTAATATTTTATAATCTCAGTGGTAAGGACTTCAGATAAACTCCTCCTTACAGCTACAAGACTACCTGGTTCAATTCCTGTATTGTGAAATCTAATTACTCAATACTTTAACGAAGGGCAAGGGGATGAAGGGTGAAGAGTGGGGCAGGCTGCAACAATAAAAAAAGGTGACCAGGATAGGCCTCATTGAAAATGTGAGGTTTTGAGAAAAGACTAGAAGGAAGTGAGGGTTAGCCAAAGGGATAACTGGGGGAAGAGTTTCCCCGGCAGAGCTGGAACAAACACCCTGAGGCAGCAGCGTGACTGGAGTGTTGAAGGGCCAGCATAGAGGCCATTGTGGCTGGAGCAGAGGAGGAGTAAAAAGTGAGAGGAGACAAGGTAACAGGAAGGTCATGTACCATATAGCCCTGAGGCCACTGTAAGGACTTTAGCCTTGTGAGAGAAATGGGGGAGCCATTGCAGGGTTTTGAGCAGAGGGGTGACATGACAGGACCACTCTGGCTGCTGTGTTGAGAACAGACTTTGGGGACCCAGGAAAAAGCAGACAGATCCTTAGGAGGCTATTGCAGTAGCAGTGGAAATTGTACAAAGAGTTTGGATTCTGGATATATTTGTAAGGAAGAACCAACCAAATTTCTTGACAGATTGGCTATGAAATGTGAGAGAACGAGAAATATCCATAATGACTCCAGGCTTTTCCACCTGAGCAAATGGTAAGATAAAGTGGGAGGAGTGGGTTGAGGGGTTGCAGCGGGGAGATTAGATCAGTTTCGGGCATGTAGAGCTTGAGATTTCTATTACAACTTCCTAGTAGAGAGGTTGAGCAGGTCATTAGGTAAATAAGTCATATATGAGATGCCCCAGTCTTTTTGCCCCACCTAACCTCTTTGTCCCGCTACTAAACCCCAACACCTACCCTCCTTGTTCCTCTACTAAACCCCAACACTTAGCAGGCTGGGGAGGTCTGGGAATTCAAGGCTTCTAACGTAAGACTTTGAAGTCCCTGGGTGCTGCAAATGGTTAATGCACTTGACTGCTAAACAAAAGGCTATAGGTTTGAGTCCACCCAGAGGCACCCTGGAAGAAATACCTAGCAATCTACTTCCAAAAAAAATCAGCCACTGAAAACTTTATGGAGCACAGTTCTTCTGTAATACACATGGGGCTGCCATGAGTTGGAATCGACTGATTTTTTTTAACATAAGACCTGCTTTAAGTGGCATCTGGGGCCTTAAAAGCTAGTGAGTGGCCATCTAAGATGCATCAATTGGTCCCAACCCACCTGGAGCAAAAGAGAATGAAGAACACCAAAGAAACAAGGAAAATATTAGCCTGAGACCAGAAGAACTACATGGTGCCCAGCTACCACTAATGACCGCCCTGACAGGGAATACAACACACAGTCCCTGATGGAGCAGGAGAAAAGTAGAGTGCAGAACTCAAATTCTAGTAAAAAGACCAGACTTAATGGTCTGACTGAGACTGGAGGAATCCCTGGAGACATGGCTCCGGACTCTCTGTTAGCCCAGAACTGAAAACATTCCCAAAGCCAACTCTTCAGACATAGATTAGACTCAACTGTAAGACATAAAATGATACTCGTGAGGAGTGTGCCTCTTAGCTCAAGTAGATACAAGAGACTAAATGGGCAGTTCCTGTCTGGAGGCAAGATAAGAAGGCAAAAAGGGACGGGAGCTGCTTGAATGGACACAGGAAATCCGGGGTGGAAAGGAGGAGTGTGCTGTCACATCATAGGGAGACTACTAGGGTCACATAATAATGTATATATACATGTATTAGAAACTAACTTGAACTGTAAAGTTTCACTTAAAGCACAGACACACACACACACACACACACACACACACACACACACACACCCTGCTTTAAGCCAAGCAACCCAGAGAGAAAGGACAGCTTAAGGGGTGGAAGGCTGTGGGTCCATCTCTGTGGTGTGCCTGCAGTATTGGGAACACTCAACTCTGAGGTTAAGGGCCCTTGTGGAGATAGCTCCATAGAATACTAGATTGGAGTTGCTACTGGGTTCAACTAAGATTCCTGCCTTCTAAGCTCAGCCTCCACTTGAAGAAATTGTTGAATGCCAAAACTAAACATTACAGCCAAAGGATAACAAATGCCAGAACTTGAAGATAAAGGATGTCCACAGTCCTGTGGTGTGTGAGCATTGCCCCTACAGCAGCTCTAACTTCTTGTGGTTTTATGTAAGTCCTGGAGCATTATTTAAATCAGCCTTCACATTGATGCCCAGTTCCAGAACTTAGGCATCACCTTGCCTTCTGTCTTACTTATCTAGTGCTCCTATAACAGAAATACCACAAATGGATGGATTTAACAAACAGAAATTTATTTTCTCACAGTTTAGGAAGCTAGAAGTCTGAATTCAGGGCACCGGCTCTAGGGGAAGGCTTTCTCTCTCTGCCAGCTCTGGGGGAAGGTCCTTGTCTCTTCAGCTTCTGTTTCCGGGTTCCTTGGAGATCTCCATGTGGCTTGGCATCAATCTTCCCCTGGGTCTAGGAAGTTCTTAGCACAGGGACCTTGGGTCCAAAGGACGTGCTCTGCTCCCAGCTTGTCTTTCTTAGTGTTAGTGAGGTCTCTCCTCTCTCTGCTTGCTTCTCTTTCCTTTTATCTCTTGTAAGAGAAAAGGTGTGACTCAAGTAAGGGTGTGACTTGAGTAAGGCTGTGACTCAAGATACACCTCACACTGATCCTGCCTCATTAACATATAGCGGTTAGGATTTACAACACATCACAAAATGGAGGATAATTACATCAGATCATAAAATGAAGGACAAGCACACAATACTGGGAATCATGGCCTAGCTAAGTTGACACATATTTTGGGGGCACACAATTCAATTCATGACATTGTCACTAGTGATAGTGCTTTTCTCAATCTACCAACATGACTTGAAACAGAACTGGGGGAACAACTGGGATGAGATGGTGACTGAATAGGCATCAGGCTGCAGCTACGACAAGAGGAAAATTGGGTAACTGGGGGATAATACCTGTGAAGTCTAGCATTGGAAGTTAGACCAATGACCAAAGTCAGGGAGCATGAAGGGGATGGTGGGGAGCAAGGTAGGTCACCTCCTACTTGGTTGGAAAGTTTGACCCTGGTTAGAACCAGCTCACCTACCCCTGGTCAGCAGTAGCCCCAGGTTCAGTCAGTGGACTACATGTATCTATCAGTCCATATGTCCGTGTACACTGGCCCACCTCCTCCCCCTACTTCCCACCCTCAGAGTCTGGTAGTCTATGGAATGGAAGGATGGCTGGAGCCAAACAAGCCACTAGTCTATTTTTATTTTTAACAAGCTAAATTTATTTGTTGCTTCCTGAGTTTTAAAGTCCAGCAGATAAAGCCAGTCCTCCATCCCTGCCCCTTTTTACTCTAAAATGCTCACTGGCATGTTTTCAGCTGCAAGTAAAAATTAAAAGTGGCTCAAACAAATAGGGGTTTACTTTTCACCTGTAACAAGAAGGCTGGAGGTAGGCAGCTGCTACATTGTTTAAGCAGCTCAGCAGGTTCTTACCCGGTTCTCTTCACATCTCCTTTACAGTCATCAGATGACCAAGTACAATTCTAGACAGCATGGCTACATTCAAGGCAAAAAGAAGAGGGAAAGAGGCAGTGTTAGCCACAGCCATCTCTTGTATCAGGAAAGCAAAAACTTCTCCAGAAATCCTCAGCAGACCTTCGGGTATATTTCACAGGTGAGACGTCACATGACCATCACTATGAGGCAAGCTGGTAGAAAGTGTCTTTGGCATTTCTAGTCTATAGAGTAGAGGTGTGGGTTGGCTGTTTGGGTAGGAAACCAAACATGTCCTCCATAGCATTCTTGCCTTTTCTGTATAATTTTTATTAAATTCTATAAAACATTCTAACAAATATGGCCAATAAGTCACTCTACAATTCTCCAAGAACCTCAGTCCAAAAATGATACTGCTGCTTCTAAACTCCAGGCAGAGAAAGACCTGGAGAATCTGATCATTCCAGTAGGAAATTCCAGTTTTGGAGATCCCAGCAGATTTCCTCAAAGAGACTAATTGATTTTGAGCCTCCCACCTCCTGGATTACGGACCAACCATTACTCTACTGCACCAAACTCTTGACTCTAATTTTAAATTGAGAAAGGGAAATTAAGAAAACAGGAAACTGACTTTTTTGGAGAGTGTAACACAAACAGAAAAAGGAAAATAAAGACATCTGTTTGATACAGATCATTTGATTTTAAAAGAAAAAATAAATCCTTATGGGTAGCTAAAAAAATTCAAAACTTAAAAGTGCATAATCCTGGCTGGTTAAATAAACATATATGCTTGTTTTTGTAGCATATGTACTATTTATATTTCTAGTTAAGGGGAAAAAATTGAATCATTGTAGTTTGGGTGTGTGCTGTTTTCCAAATTAAAAACAGCATAGCAAAAATATCCTCCAAATAGCCATAACTTCTTGAACTGGAGTCAGTTCACCCCCTATTAACTTCATATGATGTGTAAAGCAGTTTTGATAAATCAAATGAAATCATGTCTTCTAACAAGACAAATATGAAAATCAATCGCATTTAACGTTATCGCATATTCTTCCTAAAAACAATCTGTAAAGAAATGCAGATGAACAAGAAAACATTTCTAAGGGTCAAATAAAATCTTTCTGATTAACTTGATCAAATCTTCTCTTAATATAAACAAATGAAAAATTATAATTTTACCCGGAAAAAGCAGATTCAGGTGATTCTGGAGCTGGAAATCATCTGGGTTGAAACCCTCATTTCATAAAGAAACTGAGAACAAGCGACTTGCCTATGGCCAAAGCCTATAGTTAGTGGCAGAGTCTGGATGAGAAGCCCCGATCCTGATGTCCAGTCTAAAGCTGCTTCACTGTGCCACACTAGCTCCCATGCTGAGACTGGCCATTTTCTTGGCTGAGCTTGTGTGTGGGCGTAGTATGTCTTTGGTGGAAACAGAAACAAGAAAATGCGTAACTGATCAACCCTTAGTGGTTTGGAAAAACTACTCTTCCAAAATATGCCAGCATTTGGCAAAAGTAACTGTGTTATTATTGTTAGGTGCCATGGAGTGGTTCCAACTCATAGCAACCCTATGTACGAGACAATGAAGCACTACCTGGTCCTACGCCATCCTCACAATAGCTGTTATGCCTGAGCCCACTGTTGCAGCCACTGTCAATCCATCTTGATGAGGGTCTTCCTCTTTTTTGCTGACCCTCTACTTTACCAAGCATGATGTCCTTCTCCAGGGACTGATCCCTCCTAATAACATGTTCAAAGTATTTGAAACAAAGTCTCTCCATTCTTGCTTCTAAGGAGCATTCTAGCTGTACTTCTTCCAAGACAGATTTGTTCATTTTTTTGGCAGTCCATGGTATAGTCACTATTCTTTGTTAACACCATAATTCAAAGGCATCAATTCTTCTTCAGTCTTTCTTACTCATTGCCAGCTTTTGCATGTATATGAGGCAACTGAAAACACCACGGCTTGGGTCAGGCGCACTTTAGTCTTCAAGGTGACATCTAAGTAACTCTAGATTTTATTAATAGCAACCTATACTTCAGGAACAATTTTATAATTTGTGCCAAAAATAAAACTCCTTTTCAGAGCAAGATTATCCCTCTTACAAAAGTTATCTGCACTTGTCCCAGGGGTATACAGTATATTTGGTGCTTTACAATTTTAATTCTGTACTAAATTACCATTACAATAAAAATCTTTGATGCAATCGAGCCTCCAGTCATTGCAACAGAGTTGTCTATACACTTGGATTCCATCTCCTCACCTCACACACAACTTGGCTCACTCCAGTCTGATTGTGGCCTCCATCACTCCACTGAAACCGCACTAAGGTGAACAGTGAATCTGTTGGCCTCTCAGCAACTGTCACATTTGCCCACCATCTCTCCCATTTTATCAGTGTCTTAGTTTTCCTCTAGCTTTTTGATAGCTCCCTCTCAGTTTTCTTTGCGCAATTATCTTCCTCTATCTAACCATCAAAGGAGCCCTGGCGGCACAGTGGTTAAGCACTTGGCTGCTAACTGGTCAATGGTTCTAACCCACTAGCTGCTCCGCAGAAGAAAGATGTGACCGTCTGCTTCCATAATGATGACAGCCTTGGAAACTCTATGGGGCAGTTCTACTCTGTCCCATAGCGTCACTATGAGTCAGAATACACTCCACAGCAATGGGTTTGGTTTTGGGTTTTTGGTTTATCTAACCATCACATGCTGGAGTTCGTTAAGATTAGGAGGTATAATCAATTTTAAGGTTGGGAACAGAAATGCAAAACAACTGAATATTTCTAATACATCTGGTCTCCATTTCTTTTAACCTTTTATCTTTAGCCATTCTGCATATTCACCCAACCAACAATCATTTACTAATGGGGTGGATGTGGAGTGCTTGATTAATGCTGTTGATTTTTGAAAATGACTAACAGTTTTAAAATAACAAGGTTAAAATGAAGCAGGTTAAAAGGAAGCATTTCACAGAGAAAGGTTTCTCCCCTAAGTTATTTTAAAACGGGGTTAGGAATTTTGTTTCATTCGAGTCTACATATTTGAGAGCTGGACAGACCAGTGTTACCACGGCACACACAGATGCTATCCGTATTCCACTGGTTCTAATATGAAACACAAAAGTAAAAACATCAGGTTCTCTTTATTTGTAACAGGTATAAACTGAAGTTCAATCATTTAACATAGGATACAAAATAAGTACAGTAACACTGGTAACAAAAGAACAGCATGTTTTCTTCAAAAGCATTGCGTTTCTGGTTTGTCTCTTGCTGGTCCCAATAATACGGTGTATTTTTTTTTCAGGGCAAACAATGTTCATCAGACTCTAGTTCTAGCAGTGCGTATTTTTTTCATTTATATACATGTATCCCCACCCTGTCGTGCTCCGAACTTCTGACTACATTCCTGCTAACACAGGAAATTTATTATAACCTCCCAAATGGCCCTGAGTTTTATCTACAGTTAAGAATTTGTACATGGCACAAATCCACTCAGCTGTTTTCAGTGCATATGTCACCTAATCCTCACTGTGCTGAAATACTTTACTCCAGTTTTTGGGAAACAATTATACGTTAAACATACTCGCAGAACGTTTCTTAGACAAACATAATACCCGAGGCTCATCTGGCAAAGACAAATTGCTTTGGACTTTTTAGCATGATAAAATATATCTTTGTAAACTGAGAAGAACCAAAGAATGTTTAAAACAAAAAGAGAAAACCACACACAACAGATAAATTGAAATTCTGTCAAAATAGATATTCAGCAAGGCTTTTCATTTCAAACGGGCCAGAAAAAAATCCCAAGGGTATATTTTATACACATGGCTTTTTGTCCTGTTGGGAGTTTCTCCACATTTAAAGTTTATTACCAGAAGGGTTATCTGATTCAATTTATTGCGAGAGATTATCAACTATTTTTAATGCTTAAAAGTAAAGAAGTTGGAAAGCAGGAATACATCTTGCAATTAAATATGTGGCACTATACTTCCTTAAGTGAGAATTGTGTATTCCTGACATACCCCAATTCTTTTGAATTATCCCTTTAAAAACTCATGGAACTAATAAAATATAGACTATTTCTCTTTCAAATCTCTCCTCAGATTTTCATCAAGTTTCTGCTTGCTGTTTGGATAACATTTGCCCTAAATTGCTGCATAGGAATTTTCCTCAGCCACCTAAGAAAGGCTGAGCATAGTTTACTCCAGATTGAAATTCCAAAGAAAGTTCTGTGGATGCCGCAAAGGTGAGGGTAGGGAGTGGTGGTAGGGAGAAGGTATTAAGAAATTACCAATACGAACTAAAGAAAAATTTAGCTCATTTAATAAATAATGTTCACCTTGAGCATTTTGCTCTTTCGTTGAATGGGTGTATGTTTTGTTATGTATATTTTTACTGTAAATAAAAAACAAATTACAATATGAAATGCTCAGACAGGCTGGGAAGCAGTTACCGGGATAAAAAGAAACCTGTTCAAGTTCCATTTACTATCTTTTCTTTTAGCCACTTACACATGAGGCTATTTTGTTTCTGAACTCCACACATAGATCCCCGAGTTCACTGAAAGCTCAACAAAAGAATATCTACTGTGGGACAAAGAACTCAATTTGGCCGTTTTCCTTTGGTTTCTGAAAATAGGTCTTGGAATTTTCCAGCAATCAGGGGGCTTTTATTTTATGAAGTAGCCAGGCCAACACTTAAAAGTAGGTAAATGAGTAGTGGCTACACAGGCCCCATTCTGGCAGCAAGCCTCAGAAAGGGAGAACACATGAAGGAAGCAATCATACATACTGATTCATGCATATGCATTGGGTCCCAATGATTATGGGACCCTGGATGATCCTCTTTTGGGCTTCCTGGAGTGGCGAGAACATCCCTGGGACAACAGAAGTCTTGTGCAGCGACCTCTCCCAGACCTTGCCTGATGTGTCTCTTCACTTTGTATCCTTTGTTGTTATAATTAATGGGTAACTGCAAGTAGAGGTAGTCTGTGAGTTCTGTAAGTCATTCTAGCAAATTATCCAACCCACCGGGGCAGTGACAGCCAGCAGAGACTTGTGTTTGCCTATTTGGCAGGGGCTGGAAGGACAGGGTCCTAACTTGTGGAGACTCAACTCTGGGTGGTTACAGTTAGAAAGTGCCACGTGGGTGGCTGGTGTCAGGATAACAAAGTGGGAGAGTGGGGGTATGAGTTATCTTCACATTTTGGAAATTAGCCTTATGTTAGCTATTACAGAAACTTTATAGTTTTGTTTTTTGGATAATGTATTCTCTCTTACATCAATTTTCTACTAGAAAAATAGCACTTTTAGAATTAGGTTTTGCCTTACAGGTCACCTTCTCTGCTACACTTTGCTTTCCATAAAAATCAGAAAGTTAAACTAACCAATTAAAATAGATGTGCTAGATTTAAATTCTGACATGAACACTTTGGCCAAAATTAGAAACCATCTTCTAGCACGTAGGAGTCCTAGGTGTCCTTCCTTAAAAGAGTCTGAACATTTTAACACCACAACACATTTGTACTACAGTAATACTAATTCCTTTGTCATTAGTATAGAATTTTAATTTTCAGGTACTTCATTTGGCATAACCATCCTATATACTTCATATGTCATACAATCATCTTTGAAAAGAAGGATGACCCATTTTTGTTTTAGAGAATAGAAAAAGGTCCTTTAAAAAAAAGTCACATTTATGAATAAAATTCCCTTTACATCACTTCTTATAAACCATGATTCAGTGAATTTTGTACTACAACTTTTTTTTTGGTTCTTTGAAAGTAATTTGCACATCTGACATTTTTTATCTTCTTGAGGCAACTTTCTTTTCTCCACAAACACCCAGTTAAGGACGCTGTACCAATTTACTCTTAGTTCCTTCCTGTTCACTGAGTTTAAAATGGGTATAGGCGAGAATGCCAAATAATGTACATAAAATGCCAAGACCCTGGTTAACTGACAGTGGATCCTTAAATAAAACATATCCTCCAAATAAAGTAATGCAGAACTTGAAGTGTCCAAACATGTTGTAGCTGAGGTTTTTGGATAAGGGCAGAATCACAAGCTAGATGTCACATTCCACTCCCCACACCACCACCGCCCCTCCAATGCTCCCCCGTCCCGCCACACACACACACAGCAAAGGCTTCCTCTGGCTGGAAAGAAGGGCATGAAACATACTCTGAGTAGCAGCCACACCATCTAAAGAACAAGCATTAACACACTCTGAGTAGCAGCCACACCATCTAAAGAACAAGCATTTCAGTGAAATGCTGGGGCAAGCCTAGATTCTTCAAGTAGGTTTCAGCAATTAACCAGTGACAGAAGACTGATTCTACCGTCCCTGTTGACCATCCCAAAGACAGGAATGTGGGCCAAAATAAAGGGTTGGAAATAAATTCAGAAGAAGGAACGGAAAAGATAATTTTGCACAACAAGTTATGTTTTAGTGGCATTTCTAATAAAGTTTGCTTGGCAAATGAGGTGAGATGTGTAAGCCATCAGAGCGCTAACCCAACAGAAACATATGCTTAAGTGTAGGAGAAGGAGGGACACTGAGCACCCACTACACACCAGGCCAGGTGCTTTACAAAACATCATCTTATTTACGCATCACATTTACCTGCACTGCAGTATCACCCTTCTTATTTCACAACTGTCGAGGCTCACAGATTTCAAGTAACTTGGCCCAGATCACAGAGTTACCAAGTGGTAGAGGTGGTGTCCAAACTTAGGTGGGTCCATTTAGCCTCCAAATCCAGGCTCTATTCTAGTAGACCACCAGTGACTCTGGACTAAAGGTTTTCCCAAGCATTACTCATTTTAAAAACTGACCACATACACACAGTTCCTTTAAAAATTATTTTCATCATACTTTAAATATAATTATTCTTATCTATATAAATTAGTACTTTACTGTTCTTCAGACGTTTGATATGTATCCATCTACTCTTCCCAATAACAACACTAGAAATAGCTACTACTCTGTGCCTCAGTTTCCTCGTCTGTCAAATGGGGATAACATAGTACCTGCCTCATAGTGAGATTAAATGAGTTAATATATGCAAAGCACCCAGCATGTAGTAAATACCACGTGTTAGCTATAATAACAGTTATCAATAGTGTTATTTATGTATAATAAACATCTACTAGGTCTTGACAAGTGAGCCCTGGTGGCGCACTGGTTAAATACTCAGCTGCTAACCGAAAGGTCGGTAGCTCAAACCCACCAGCCACTCCAGGGGAGAAAGATGTGGCAGTCTGCTTTCGTAAAGATCACAGTCTTGGAAGCCCTGTGGGGCAGTTCTACTCTATCCCTTAGGGTCACTAGGAGTTGGAATCAACTCAACGGCAACAGGTTTGGTTTCATTGGTCTTTTAAGGTGCTTGACATGTATTCTTTCAAATCCTCACAAAAGCCCAGCATGGTAGGTATTATTTTCTTCATATTATAAGTGATCCTGAGTGACCCGAGAGCTCCCATGACTTGCTCAGGCCCACAAGTACTGTCAGAGATGGGAATTCACACCTGGATCTGTCTGACTGCAAAGCCCAGGTCTTTCCTCTGTTCTGAGCTGGGCAGCTAAGCAGCCCATGGGCGCACTTGGTATTTCCAATTCCTCTCCTGTAGTTCTCCACTCCGTTCTAGTTAGGCTTTTGCTTCCTACCCCCAGGACTGTTCTTGTCAAAATCATCAGTGACTTCCACTTTACTAAATCTCAGCATTGATTATCAGTCATCCTTGTACTTGACCTGTCAGAGGCATTTGACAGTTGATTACACCTTCCCCTCTGAAACACTTTCGTCACTTGGTTTCACCACCACTCTTCTTCTACCTCTGATTGTTCCCCTTAGTCTTCTGCCTAGTTCCTCCTCATCTCTCTGAACTCTAACCAGTGAAGTAACCCAGGATTCAATCTTTGGATATCTTTTCTTCTACTTACTTGCTTGGTAATCTGAGTCTCACTGCTGTAAACCACTACTGACTCCCTCTGGAATATTTCCACCCCCTGAACTCCCAGACTTGTTTATCCTAAGTGACTCCTCACACCCCCACCTAAATGTCAAACAGACCACTCATACTTAACATGTCCAAAACTGAGCCCCTGGCCTTGTTCCCCTGCACCAAACCTCCTTCAGTCTGCCCTATCTCAGTGGATGGCAACTCCATTCCACCAGGTGCTCAGGCCAAAATTCTTGTAAACACGTCTCCTCTCATTCTCCACATCCAATTTGTGACTCTACTTGAAATATATCCAGAATCCAATCACTTCGGAGTATACCCACCGCTGTTGTTGTTAGGTGCCATCGAGTCAATTCCAACTCACAGCGACCCTACAGGACAGAGTAGAACTGCTCCATAGGGTTTCCTAGACTGTAATCTTTGTAAAAGCGGATCGCCCGAGCTTTCTCCCATGGAGCTGCTGGTGAGCTCAAACTGTTGACTTCTCGGTCAGCAGCCTAGTGCTTAACCATTGCACCACTAGGGCTCCTTATATCCACTGCTACCGCACAGGTAACCACCATTTTTTTCTCCATTAGAATACTACAATAGCCTTGTAATTGTCACTCTTCTTCCCTTGCCTCTTTTAGTCCAATGGTTCTCAATAAAGGATGATTTTACCCCCTAGGCAATGTAGACATTTTTGGTTACTATGAAGGGGGAAAGAGGGAGCTACTGGCATCTTGTGGGTAGAGGCCAGGGATGCTGCTACACATCTTACAATACACAAGACAGGCCTTCACAAGAAAGACTGTCCAGCCCAAAAAGTCAACAGTGCTGAGGTTGAAAAACCCTGCTTTGGTGTATTCTCAACACAGTAGCCAGGGTGATCCTATTAAAACAGAAGTAAAATCATGTCACTTCTCTGCTCGAAACTCCAATGGCTTCCCATCTCACTCAGAGTAACAGACCTCATATAAGAACCCTACTCAATCTGTCTCCCTGTTACCTCTCAGAGACCCCCCTTTGCTCACCCTGCACAGGCTTCCTTGTTCCCCAGGGCGTCTCACCTGCTGTTCCCTCTGTCTGGCATGTAGCAACCTTACTTCCTTCGGATCTTTACTCAAAAGTCACCTTCTCAGTGAGAACTTCCTGGCTACCTGAACTAAAACTTCAACCCTGCCCTCAACAGTTCATATCCCCTCACTGCTTTATTTTTTCTCTTTGGCACTTACCACTATCTAATGTTTTATACATACATCCCCTTCCCCCACTTGTAGTCTGTCTTCCTTACCAGAATTTAAGCCTGTGAGTACAAAGACTTGCGTGTATTTGGTTGTCTACTGTGCCTGAAATGCCTGACATATAGCAGATGTTCAGTAAATAAATATTTATTAAATCAATTAATAATTTACAACCAAAAAACCCACTGCCATCGGTTTGATTCCTACTCATAGCAACCCTACTCATAGCCAGAGCAGAAGTGCATCATAGGGTTTCAAAGGTTATAAATCTTTATGGAAGCAGATTGCCACATCTTTCTCCCACAGAGCGGCTGGTGGGTTTGAACCGCTGACCTATCAGTTAGCAGCTGAAAGCTTGACCACTGTGCCACCAGGGCTCCTTAAATGGTTTATAGTGGGTATTTAAAAAATATTTGCTGAATGAATGAATGAATGTATTCTTAATCGAGGCACATCCTTGCATGCCTTGATCTGGCAGTGTGCTGTACAAGTTCTGGAACTGGACGGCCTGGGCTCAAATCTGGACACCACACTTCTCAACGGTGTGACCTCAGGTGAGCTGTTCAATCTCTCTCTGTCTCCATTTCCTCCTCCGTAAAAAAAATGACAGAATTCACCTCACACAGCTGCTGTGAGAAATAAATGACCTAATATTACAAAGTTCTTTAAATGGAGCCTGGCACAAAATAAACATGCATTAAGTGCTGGTTTTAGAAAAATTATTATTACCATTGTTGTTGCTGTTTCTTGGTATCTGGCAACTAATACCGCTTATTTGTTGACATCTCAGTACTCAATCTTTTATAAAAATTGGCACATTCTGATATAATGTTAGTAAACTACCTCTCTGATCTGGGGAAATTCATTCTTTGTATCCGCCTAAGAGTGGTGGCAGAGTGAAATACTACAAGAAACTGAATGACAGCAGAAGGGTGGAAATGGGCAGATGAGTTGGACTTAGACCTTCAAGTATGATTTATTTTCTTAAACTAACATTCAGAAAAACAGGCACACCCATCTCCAGATAAGTACGAAAACATACTCCAGAGTCAGATGCCAATGGTTTGAAACTATCTTTTGTAATGTGAATTAATGATACTTCTACTTTATCACTGTAGATAACTGAAAACCCAACCCTCCATCCCACCATTCATTTACTCATTGAACAAATACTTGTTTGGCCCTACTATGTGCAAGGAATGGAGCTCTATGTTAATGTTTATAAGAAAAAAGTGATCTATTATTTAAAAAAATTAAAAAACATTCATGGTACAGAAAGCTAGCCCATTTCCCCAGTTCATACTTCTGTAAATTTCCGGACTTTACTGTGGAAAGACATAATAAAAGACTAAAAATAACCCTCTGTACTCAATTAGGCCATGCTGTAGTTAATGTGAGGCTAGAATAACGTAGTGAATGTGACTATTTTGGAAAACATAAAAGACTATGCATTTGTAAGTGATTATGGAAAGGATACGTGACTGGTGAAGTGTTCCCAATGATCCAGTAAATCGATAAGTTCACCATGAAAGCTATTACTCCAGATAGCAGCACCATAACCTACAAATAAACCCAAAGAATCGTTAATGCAAAGTGGCTGTAATCACTGTAATCATCAACTAAAAATAACTTCATTAGGCATTTTAAAAAATTCAAGTATCAACCATTAAAAACAAGATAAAAAAGAGAATCAATTTGTGAGACAGAAAGAAGTGACGGTACAAAAGCAGAATGAATAGTATTCAGAAATGTAATTTAAAAAAAAAAATTTTAAATTGTACTTTAAATGAAGGTTTACAGAACAAATAGTTTCTCATTAAACAGTTAGTACATATTGTTTTATGACATTGGTTAACAACCCGATGACTGTCCCTTTTCGACCTTGGGTTCCCTATTACCAGCTTTTCTGTCCCCTCCTGCCTTCTAGTCCCTGTCCCTAGACTGTTGTGCCCCATTAGTCTCAATTTGTTTTATGGGCCTGTCTAATCTTTCGCTGAAGGGTGAACCTAAGGAGTGACTTCATTACTGAGCTAAAAGGGTGTCCGAGGGCCATACTCTCAGGGTTTCGCCAGTCTTTGTCAGGGCAGTAAGTCTAGTCTTTCTTTGTTAGTTAGAATTTTGTGCTACATTTTTCTCCAGCTCTGTCCAGGACCCTCTGTTGTGATCCCTGTCAGAGCAGTCAGTGGTGGTAGCCAGGCATCATCTAGTTGTACGGGACTCAGTCTGGTGGAGGCCATGGTAGTTGTGGTCTATTAGTCCTTTGGACTAATCTTTCCCTTCTATCTTGTTTTCTCCCTTGCTCCCAAAGGGGTAAGACCAGTGGAGTATCTTAGATGGCTGCTCACAGGCTTTTAAGACCCCCAGATGCTACTCACCAATGTAGAATGTAGAACATTTTGTTTATGAACTATGTTATGCTAATTGAGCTAGATGTTCCCTGAGACCATGGTCCCCACAGCCCTCAGCCCAGCAATTCGGTCCCTCAGGGAGTTTGGATGTGTCTATGGAGCTTCCATGATCTTTCCTTGTACAAGTTGTGCTGGCTTTCCCAGTATTGTGTACTGTCTTACCCTTCACCAAAGATACCACTTATCTATTGTCTATTTAGTTCCCCTCCACCCCTCCCCTCCCTTGTCACCATCAAAGGTTGTTTCTTTTTTTTTTAAATAATATTTTATTGTGTTTTCAGTGAAAGTTTACACAGCAAGTTAGGTTCCCGTTTAACAATTACTACACATATTGTTTATAAACATTGGTTACATTTTTCACAATGTTTTAACATTCCCATTAACTTCCTTCTAAATGTTTCCCTTCCAGTAATCTGGTTTCCCTGTCCCCTTACCTTATCATTTTTGCTTTAGAGTAATTATTGACCATTTGGTCTCACATAGATGGTTTTTCTTTTTTTTTTTTTTTT